ATTGCATAGTTTGTTTTTGGCGATTTGCACATATCGGCGTTGTTCTATTTCGGGAGGGAGAGGGGGAACTCGGGCTGTTTGTGTTTCGAATTGCATGTGGACAAAAGTGTATTGATAGGACGAGGCATGGGGATGCACAAGGCGTCCAAGCGTCTGCCACGGACGGGCATATCTACTGAAAGAGGAAGATGAGACGAGAAAGAAGACGAATCAAAGCAAATTTTCACAGGCCCGAGAGACCAATTTCACGTGCAGATCATGACCCAGCAGCAGGAGCAAATCCGGACCGACGCGAGCTGAGGGCAACCGAGATCAAAGTGCCGTTGAGCTGCTGCTCTCGCCGGGGGGCTTAGGACTGACATCCGAAGCAGGCAAAAAGCTTGGATGCACCGGGGTGGCCCTTTTGGGCGGTGCCAATCACGAAAGGACGGCAGGTATGTACTCGTAGATGAAACAGACGACCCATGGGGACGGTATGTACGTGCAAGGTTGCAAGAGGAAGAGGAAAGCCAGGAGGCCCGCGCTAGGATGGAAACGGGAATTGCAGAGTGAGAGCGAGGGTGGAAGAAGAGAAGAGGCCGCGCAAGACGGGCAAGGGGTCGGGGGGTCGGGACCGAAGCAGGAGCGCGCTTGAGCGATCGGTCATATGATATCCGCGTAAGGCGCATCCGGATTCCGAGCAGGGCTGACGTTTTGCTTTGCAGTGCAGAGTTGCAGTGTGTTGACGAAGGGATGAGGTGGTGATGGTACGGTGTGTTTGATGCTACGTTGACGTTGTACATACAGTATAAAGGTGAAGTTGAGAGGTTCTTGGGAGGTTTTCGTTGGTATGAGGCGTGAAGATGAGGATGATGTCGGGTGAGGTGAAATGCTTCAACGGTTATGGGCATGTACTCGTATGCATACGTGAGAGTGAGAGGAAGAGTAAGCTGTTTTGTTTCGGGCACGAGATGGGGGAGGTCCTGTAATCGTTTTGGACGAGGTGATTTGGATCCCGATCAACAGGGGCTTTCTTTGTACTACCTACCTCTTGCATGCAGGCAGGTACTTCCTACAGGTTCTGTTGTAAGTGTAGTACTAGTACTATTAGTATTGCCAGGTGCCTATTACGGAATACCCTGGTTGCCTGGGTGAGTTAAAGATGCTTGTTAGGACCTAACCTACCTAGCGTTGCATGGAACGGAATTCAAGGTCAAGGTTATAGTAAATACCTACTTACCTAGGTACAATCGGTATTTGTCGGTAGGTACTGGGTATTTGTATGGGGTGTATGTTGCCGTGTCATGTCTCGATGCATTAGTTCTGCATGTACGAAGGAAGGACTTTGGTTCTTGCATGGTGATGCTTGTTTACGGTTTACCGAAAATAGACAGACCGCTGTTCAAAGTCTTCTTTACTAGAAAGTACCACGCATGAGGAAAAAAATGTACCCAGCTTCAATCCCCCATCAATGGCAGGTTGGTGATAATAACATGTGTTTAGAGCACATACATAGGAAGGGGGGACATATGCCGAGGCAAACTATATGTCGTATCTACAAGGTTGGACGGATTTTGTCGAACCGGACAATTGGTGGAGCAGCATCAGATTCGTTTTTTTTTTTTCCTTCTCTTTTTAGATAAAGACAAAAGCAAAAAGAAGGAAACTCGTGAGAACGGAACAGGAAAAAGCGATGGGTTCCTGGATGACGAGATCCGTCCTGGAAGGGGGGGGCCTGTAATTTGCCTTTTGTAGGTGCCCTTACACCTGCCGGGATTGTGTTTCTTTTTTGCGGGCGTACAGTAGTCACGAATACCTTGGCTTTCCTATATTAGGATGGGACGGGCATAAAATGCAGATGCTTGTTCGTTTTCAAAAGCTTGTACACAGAAGGTTGTTCTATTTTACAAGATTTTTTTGTGTAAGTGAGGAAAGGCTTCTCAGTCATAGGCGGACCATTTCCTCCGTGGTGCCAAATTCTAAGTGCTGGTTCTAGATAGTAGTACAAGTATTTGCACACTACTGGGTAGTTTATATATAATCCATTAATAAACAGCTACAGCCTATACACGTAATTGAAGGCAATACAGCGAGGGAATCTTCACAAACCAAAGCACAAGAGGCAGAGAGCTTGTATTGTTTCAGAGTCGGGTTTAGCTTCTCCATCGAACAAGATGCCCCCCCGGTTCATCAAGCTCCGGGTATCGCTGACAACAAGGGGCCCCAAACCGGAGCATTGCCCGAGAATAGAGAAGGTAGATATTGTAATACTTGCAGTAGGGACAGTAATCTGGACAAGGGGGGGAAGTGGCATTACATTTTGCTGGGGGCTTGAATATGCTAAAGAGGGAAAAAGACGGAGATTTTGGGGATGGAAGAGCTTTTGGGGCTTTTTTGCTGTGGATTGATTAAATGAGTAGGGACTATGCAGCTACCTATCATGATCAGGCTTCCCTTGCCGTGTGCCTGAAGATTGAACTTTCCTTGTTGCTGCCCTGAGTGGACCTTATTTACCAAAAGGATACCTAGGCAACCAACAAGCAAAAGAAAAAGTTCAGCTTTTTGCCAGGTAAAACTGCTATGTACCATCACAATAAATACAATCTGTACAATGTGGTCATTCGTCTCACTCCTGTGGTGTGTGAAAGTGTCATCGAGCATCAGGTTCTCCAGCTTAGGGGGCGTGTGCGAATGTCTGCTTGCCATTCTCTTACTTTTCTTCATGTACATCGGCAAAACCTTGTTCTCATCATCATAAAAGTGTCCTAATACAAAATACGAAGAAGCAACAGTTGCAATGCCAAGCACAGCCCTCGAGAAAGCCGGCAAGATGGATTGTCCCGTGCCAAGACCTGTCGAAGCTCGGCAGTCGGCTAGCATCTTCTTTTCGGCATCAAGATGCAAATAGATAGAGACACGAGGTAGTAGCACCTTAGGTAATAGAATGTAGCATCTCTTCTGCTTTCATACCGAAGTACTCAGCTGTAAAAAATCTTCTTGTACTCTCCGATGTAGATGAAAAATATGAGAGACCACGTCTCTACTTATTACCTACGAAGGCAAAACAGATATTTGCCGTTCATGAGTACCCGTGTATACCTATTCTCGGAACTCGTAGTGTATCCCGTAAGATACTGACACGTGCAAATGCGCCCCCAAAACTCCCACGAAGCTCAAATCAAACATGCTCAAATGAGTTTTCCACATGTCACAATACAATGGAAAAGAACCATCTCTCGGTCCGCTTCCCGATTCGTAAACGCCCTCTCCTCACCCCCCTCCGCAACACACACGCACACACCCACTCAAGCTGCGAAACGACCAACATAATCTTCTTCTTCATCTTCTTCACTTCTTCCTTTTCTTCTTCATACTGAGTGATGCAAAAACCCATTTCACCGTTCTTCATCCCCTCTTCTCAATACCTACGGGTTAAACTCGTATAGCTCGTATACTGTATATGCAAATAAAGATCTCGTATACTGTACATATCCCTCGAAAAGCTAATTCGACGGACATATCGCTGGTTTTTTTACTTTTATTCCTTTTCTATATATATGTCGTATTCACAAGGGGCACGTGAAAAACGAGTTTCGTATATGCCAAAGTAGAGCTTATATACGAGCCCCCGGAACTGATACATCTCTTACATTCTACACCCAGAAAGCGGAAGTCGTCCATCTTTGCAATTCGCCCCTATTTTATGATACATGACGATAAAATAGATGCAGCTCAAGTTTCTGCTCACATATCCCCAATTCTATCAAGAAAGCATTGGCATATAGCATTTCAGACCATTCTCTGAAAGGACAATCAAATGTTATATGCCAAGCGCCAGCTCAAAAGTTTCACAAGAGGCAAGACATAAAAGAGCAAGACTAATATGTGTAGAGAAATAACAACAATGATGAAATTGCTAGAAGAGAATTCTTTCTCTCTCACATCACCACCATCATTATCTTCTCCTCCTCACATATCCGCCACATCTCCTTCTTGCACATCTCGCTCTCTACCATACTTTCGTACCTCTGAAGAGAAGGAGGTAATATATAACGATTCTGTACCGACTCCGTTCACGTCGTCAGCTCCCCCCATCCCCATCTCATCTCCATCACACAACCTCCAACACGAAGCTCGTCGAAAAGGGGAGAAAAACGTAATCAAAAGGCAAACTCTCAAAAACCAGAGCTTAACTGAGGTGAGCAGTACGAGCACGGACAACCCACAGAACACGGAATCCGGAACGGCCCCTGGAATTATGATGAATCTCACGTGTGATGGAAGCCGTATCCCGTTTCTGGAGCTCGCCCAGGAACCCGGCAGGGCCAGCGCCATCCAACGTCCTCATACTTTGTGCCAAAGCTTCGCGCAAGTGCTTACGGGGTGTAACACGCAAACTCAATGCTCAGGAACCCAGTCAACAAATCTCCGTTTGTATTAGTGGTACTAGTAGTTGTTGTTTTTTCACCCTACCAAATCGCCGTCTAGCTACACCAGCCGTTGCCGCCCGCCGTTAGCATGTCGACTCCAGCCAATCTGGCCAGGTAGGTCGCCAACCACCCGCTGCTCAAAAGACAAAACGCCTCCGTGACGGAAGGGTATCCATAATTCAGGGCCTACCGTACGCCCGCTTCGCGCCACCCTGTCCCAAATCCTGGTATATGAAAGCAAACCGAAAACGCACGCAAGAAACAGACTGAGAGAGTGAACGAGGTGGCCGAAGCAAGTGGGAATGAGCCACGTCAAGAGACAAAGGAAATCAGGTGTCGAGAGGTGTCGAGCAGACCATTTGGGTCATTAATAGAGGGTATCGGTAGTTGATCAAGACGAAGGGGTATCCGAGGTGCGGAAATGTAAGTGAACAAGGCAAGGGAGGCGCCATGTGAAGCCCAGCCGTCCCATTCCATGTACCCATTCCGTGGGAGAGACAAAGGAAACAAAGTAGTAGTGGAAAATAAGATACAGTAGAAGAGAAGGAGGAGACATCAGCCCGTCAGGGCCATGCTCGAAAGGCAAGCGTGCTACGTCTTCTTCTTGCCTTGGTGTGACTTCCACTCCGCTTTGGTCACCTTCATCAACAGATCCTCATCCTTGATGGGAATCCATGACGTCAAGGCCTTCATTGCGTTTTCAAAATCAGAGTCCAGCAGCACCTCGCGAAGGGCCTGGATCAAGGCAGCGCTCGTGGCGTGCAGGATGTCGAGTCCGGTGGCCGGGCTTGCTTCGGCGTCGGGGGCACTGAGAGGCCTGTTGGGTTCCGCGGCGCTGTCTCCCAGCAGGAGGAAGACGTCCCAGACGCGCAGCTGGGCCGGGAAGGGGATGGAGAGGTTGAAGAGGGTGAGGTACCACCGAGTGCCGTAGGCTGTTATATCTACGCCGAGCTCGATCTACAGGAATGACACGAGTTAGATGAAAATTGCAACAAAGGGGAGGCTGCCAAAAACTCACCAGCCTCTTGGCCACGTCCTTATTCAGCCAAGTCTCGTTAAACTCTTGCAGTGCCTTCATCAGGCCCTCAAAGCCTGGGCGATACAAGCGATCGAGCCCCCGTAGCTGCCACAGGCGCACCAGCATGACGAAGCATTTCTCCTCGTCAAAGTAGCAGAGCAGCGTGGCCGCCAAGGACGCCATGCCCTGGACGTAGCCCGTCGCCGGGAAGTAAATGGAAAGGCAGTGCAGGACGCGAAACAGCAGCCGTTGGCCGCCCCGATACCGTTTGCGAAACATAATGTGTCGGCTGATGGTCCGCGGCACGTCGAGATCGATCTGCACGTCGTCCGGCGAGCTCTGCTCCAGCAGCCGGTGAAACGAGGCGACAATCTGCTCCTCCGTGGGATAGCCCCCGTGGTCCGCGGCGGAGCCGGCCATGAAGGACCACCAGGCGGCGGCGCGCCAGCGGTCGGGAATGCCTTTCCACGTCCGCTCAATGAGCTTAGGGTTCTTCCTGTCAAACTCAAACTCCATGCCCTCGCCCTGGCCGCCCTTGCGGACGACCTTGGCCATCTTGCGCCACTTCTCCGATCTCTCCCACTCCTTGCGCTTCAGCGCTTCCGAGATCCTCTCAATCTGCGCTTCCTCGGCGGCATCTTGGAGGCTGGGCGGAAGCGTGAGCATGTCGCCGGCTTCATCCAGCCATCGCCGGTCGCGGTTATGGGGCAGCAGGTTGCTGGCCTGTCGAATAACGGATCGCGACGAGCGCTTCGAGGCCGTGGACAGCTCCGAGGCCTGCGTGTTGAGCGACCTCGCCGACATCTTCCTGCTGGGCCCCAGAGGCGATAGCCCGGCCGTCTCTCTCTTCTGTAGTCTTCGTCGGGGCGAGAACTGGGCCGACTTCATCTCAGTCGGGGTGCCGAGTCGTGATCGGGGCGCGGTGATGAAGCCATATCGGTCCACATTGGCGCCGTCCACATCTTCCCAGTCCTCCAAGCCGCCCGCGAGCTCCGTCTCCCGTCTGTAGTCAAGATGCACCGAAGAGCTCGTCGACCGGACAGATCGCGGAGTCCCCCAGGTAGGGACAGGCGGTGGGAGGATGCTACAAGGCGACGAGAAGGCGCAAAAGCCGTTAGCCACAAGATGCACAGAACAAAAGAAGCAAATTCAGGCCCGACACACACACACGCGCGACGCCGGGAATCGTCAAGGGAATCCATACGAGTCATTCCCATCGTCCTCTGCCGGGACCTCTGGGGTAGGCTCCAAGGGTTCGCAGTACGAGCGCCTCGCGCCATCCTCCCAATTGATGGCATCGCCAACCCCGTAGAGCGATCTCACCTTTTGAGACTCCTTGTCGACGTCGGATGCTAAAAGGCGGATGTCGGGCGGCGGTTGAGCGCGGGGCACGAGGCTGGGGTTGGAGGCGGAGGCGGAGGCAGAAGCAGAGGCAGCGATAGCGGCCAAGGACTCGATGCGATCGATGCTGGTGCTGCTGGATCGTGCATGGCTGCGGGTGGGCGTGGAAGGGGCAGAGACATTGCCTCTGCCGACGTCGTTGGTCCCGTCGAGGCCCAGCGCTCCGGCGGCGCGTCGCCCCCCGAACATGATGCTGCCGCGGTTCGAGAAGGACAGCGTGGCCATAAAATCATCCTCGAGCAGGCTGTGGTTCGGGATGCAGATGCCCAGGGGCGCAAAGCCGTCGTGGTCGTCGCCGTCGTCTCGGTCGTCTGCGCGGTCGTCGTCGATGTCGGCCGGAGAAACTGCGTCGCGAGAGGCTGAAGGGGCCTGTGACGGCAGGAGAGACGACGTTTGTGCAATCGGCGACCGCAGTGGCTGCTTTTGAGTGGAGGCTGGCTGCGAGCCCCGCATCAGGGGCTGCATTGGCGCGTTCGCGGCAGTCGATCCCTCGTCGAGGGCCAGGGCCTGCAGGGCTGCTAATTTCCCCTTTGCCGATGCAGAGGAGCAGACGCTAAGGCGCTTGAAGATGCTGTGTCTCTTGGGCGAGGCTGGCGACAACGGAGGGGGCGGCGACTGCGACTGCGGCCGAGGAGGAGGAGATGAAGGAGATTGCGAGGGCGGCGGCGGCGGGGGCTGGCAGAGTGGAAGAGGTTGTGAGCGACTCGGTGCGACGGCGGCAGGATAGAGTTTGGCGAGGGAAGGAAATGACGCTGCGCCCGACGCGGCTGGCTGGCCGACGGCTGTCTCACTTGTTGGCGAGCTCTGCCGGCCAGCGGGCACTTGGCCGACAGCTGCTTCGGGCTGAGGGTGAGCTTGTGAGACGCGATGCCGTGCGACGACGTCGACTTTGCTCGGGCTAGGGCCCCAGCGCTTGTTGCTGCCGGCAGAGGAGCTGCTGTCGTCTGCCAGCCGCTTGCCGTCTGACTTGCCGCCCTGCTTGCTGCCTTGCCTGCCCTCGTCCTCCTCCTCGCAGTCCTCTTCGTAAATGGTGGCTGCCGAGGTGGGCGTCGGGGCGTGGCCAGAATCTCTCTTCCAGGTCTCACGGACGAGCTTTGCCTGCCGGACAGGCGTGGGCGCCCTCAGGGCTGGGTGCTGCTCAGCGGGTGGCGGGATGGATGGCAGGGAGAGCTGCGGCGGCACGACCACGACGAGGTTGGGCGAGTACAGGGAGAGGGCGTACAGAGAGGGCGACGGCGAAGGGCAAGGAGAGGACGCCGACGATCGAATCGACAGCGTGCGGATGGTGTTGCGGGAGGCGCTCCTGGGCGGCAGCGGGATGGGCGGCTCTGCCTGGACCGTCTTTTCGTAGCGGAGGCTGATGATGCTGCTGTCGCCGGACCGTCGCGATCGGGAGCTGGACGGACGGAGGGAGGTGACGGCCATGGCTTTGGCTCTGTCGGGGCGTGACGGAGGCGCCGCTTGGCTGCGAGGGCCCTGTCGGTCCTGTTCCCGAGTCTCAGAGGGAGACTGCGGGCAAGACCGAGGTCGGGATCGAGGGCGAGAACGAGGACGAGAGGGTGGACGACTTGACGGACAGGAACCGCCGCTGATGGCGGTGCCGTGCAGGGCGGTGCTGCTGATGAGGGCAATGGCGTTGATGCTGAGGCCGGTGCTCTCGGTGCTGTGCGAGCGGAGGCCGCGAGTCCAGCGTCTGAGCAGCTTGGCGAGGCGTGAGGCAGCCAGCTTGAACGACTGACTAACTGAAGCGATCTGAACGATCGTGAGCTGCCAGCGCAGAAGCGAGGATCGGAGGATTATTGGTAATCAAGAGACCTCGAGTCACTCGTGCAGGAAGGAAGGCGAAGGCACAAAGGCGAGGCAGAGGCGAGCTTTCGGCAAGTCGGCTCTTGCTTTGGTCTTTCCCTCGGGGCGTCTGCTTGGCAGTTCAAGGTAAGGTACCCAAAGTAAGGTATTGAAGGTGGTGAATGTATCTCGAGATTTTGTGGTATCGGCTTGAGATGCGGTAAGAGGTGTGTGAAGCGAGCGGTGGGAAGCGAGAATATCGCTGAAGCAGACGAGGATGAAGTTTTGTGTGTTCCCGGGCGATTCTGGTAATGATGCCTGAGGAAGAAACGAGGGTGAAGAGGGAGTATGTGAATGAGACAAGTCGAAG